TTTTCAGAGCTTTAGAAGAAGAATGGAGACCTCAGAGGAACACTATTATGACTACCCCGAGTATGAAAACAACAGCTCCAACTTCAGCTACGATGACTATCAGACCATCTGTGAGAAGGGCGACGTACGCTCCTTCGCGAGGATCTTCCTCCCAGCTGTTTTTGTGTTATCTCTAGTGATTGGTTTAGCAGGCAACGCTCTGGTTGTGGCTGTGTATGCATACTGCAAGCAACTGAAAACGATGACTGACACGTTTATACTTCACCTGGCTGTGGCAGACCTTTTGCTGCTCCTAACGTTGCCCTTCTGGGCTGCCGATGCCGTCCACGGGTGGGAACTCGGGGTCACCATCTGTAAACTCGTATCTGCCCTGTACACCATCAACTCCACCTGTAGCATGATGCTGCTGGCCCACATCAGCATGGATCAGTACTTGGCTTTGACACCAGGAGCCAGAAACACAGGCATTACGCGTGCTTTTCAAAAGAAGCATTGTGTAAAACTCTGTTTGGTGGTCTGGACCGTTGCGTTTTTTCTTGGCGTCCCTGATTTGGTGTTTTCAACAGTCAGAGAGCTTCCTCATAAAAAAAGCTGCATCGCAATGTATCAATCGGACATGGCGCTCAGGGCTAAAGCTAGTTTGGAAGTGGTGGAGGTCGTAATAGGCTTCTTGCTACCTTTATTAGTGATGTTGTTCTGCTACACCTGTGTAGGCCGAGCCCTACTGAAGCTCCCTCAGGAGAGGAGGTGGAGAAAGTGGAGGTCCATCCGTGTGCTGCTGGCGATGGTGGGAGTCTTTGTGGTCACGCAGCTGCCCTATAATGTGGTCAAGTTCTGCCGGGCTATGGACATCATGTACACGTTTGTGACTCACTGCGGGGTTAGTAAAGAGCTGGACAAGGCTACTCAGGTCACAGAGAGCCTGGCATTGACACACTGCTGTCTAAATCCTATTCTGTACACTTTTGTCGGTTCCTCCTTCAGACAGCATGTATTGAAGTGTGCCAAAGACTTTGGAGATAGGGGAAGGAGGTTGGCACGTACGAGAGAGCAACAAGAAGTGGATATCTCCTTGAATTCTCATTCACAGTCCCAAGAGACCAGCACTTTTTCTATTTGAGCAAACTGAAGAGTAGATGTTTACTAGCCTGTGGAGCTTTGCACAATCTGCCCCTTTGCAAAATATGTACACATTTACAGGGAAAAATTAGTGAAGACATAAGGCAGTATTTTGACCAGAACAGTAAAATTCTAACTGAAGTAAAAGCTAAGATGCAAGATGTCGATAGTTGGGTTTATACGAAACAAATGGAAAAAGAACAAGTCCGCAGAGTGATACGAGAGGTACGAAAATAGCGCCGGACTACTAGCGGACAGATGGTGAGTTCAACTCCTCCTTTATGAGTTAGAACATCTGGTGCGTTTAAATAACCTTGGTCGAAGCAAGATGTCTCTTTTGCATAATATTTAACAAGATTTTCTTAACTCTACATCTACAAAATGATGAATAAAGAAGAGTTTCTACTCGTAGGCTAATTATGACTTTGTGTGTAACGTTATGACTTTGTGACGTTCATGTTCGTTTAATAAATACAACCTTTCCCACATGACTTGAAAACACCTTGATAAACATCATTGCCAATGAGAACAGTGAATATAGGCTAATGGTACGTTCAAGTCCTCCTGAAGTTCGTATTTACGAGTTGGCATGTCCGTCAGGTGCCTTCAAGTTACTTTGGTCGGATGGCGATGCATCTTTTCTATTGTCAGGGCCGTCCTTAGTGGGGTGCAATTGCTGCGGTCGCACCGGGCCCCACGCTTGAGGGGGCCCCGCGGCGAACGGCCAACCAACCCCACCCCCCACGGAACGCGATTGCGAATGGACCGAGGGGTGCCCCGCGTCAGCTACGGACGGCCTTGTCTATTGTAATAATATTTAAAAATAAATAAATAAATAAACACTACTTCTACAAAATGGTGAGTGTGCATGAGTGTATTTTTTTATGTTTTTATTTAATTTGATGAAGGTGCTGTAAATTGAATCATATTCTGTCGTAGTTGTATAGCTATCATATTTTTTTAGATGCAACTTTTTGATAGTTTTATGTAAATTACAAAAAAAAATAATTTCATTAATTCCAACAAATTTACCATCAATACAGATGCTGCATCCATTGTGTCTGTTTTCTCACTGCCTGCTGAAAACAAACAACGGTAAAACCAGCCCATGTTGGTTGGCTGGTCTTACTTGGTTTAAACTGAAAGTGATGTTAGGTGTGGCCAAGTAATGGTGTCCCATATTCTGAATTTGTGCTCTGCATTTATCCCATCCAAATGCACACACACACACACAGCAGTGAGTAGTGAAACACACACACACACCGTGAAAACACATCCGGAGCAGTGGGCAGCCATTTTTGCTGCGGCACCCAGGGAGCAGTTGGGGGTTCAGTGCCTTGCTCAAAGGTCTCACCTCAGTCGTGGTATTGAGGGTGGAAGAGAGCGCTGTACATTCACTCCCCCACCTACATTTCCAGCCGGTACTGAGACTCGGACCTGTGACCTTCTGGTTACAAGTCCGACTCTCTAACCATTAGGCCATGACTGCTACCAAAATTTAAGCTGGTCTCCCAGCCTGGCTAAGCTAGTGTTCAGCTGGTTTTAGCTGGTTGGTGGTCAAAAGCCCTCTAAACCATCCCGCAAACCAGCTATTTCCCACTCTTAATTATGACTTGTCGTAGCGTTCATGTACCTTTAAAGGTGACATATCATGAAAATCTGACTTTTCCAGGTTTTAAGTGCTATAATCAGGTCCCCGTGCATCTACCAACCAAAGAAACGTGAAAAAGATTAACCCAGTAACTTTGTTTTGGGAAGCCTTTTTCTGCAAGCGTCTGATTTCGCTCCCTTGGTGACGTGGCAAAGGGATCTCATTATAATATTACCGCCCCTTTAGATGTGTGCGCTCAGAAAACCATATATCATAAGTTTAAACTCATATGGTTTAAAATGCATGATTTCAGCACAATAAACATGATAATCAGAACCAAAAACATATGTTTTTAGCTGGTCCGAGCTGTAGAGCGGTGCAACTCTATTCTGGAAAAGGGGGAGGGGAGCAGCAGCTCATTTGCATTTAAAGAGACAGGCCCGAAAAACAGCAGTTTCTGCTTCCACTCAAAATAGGCATTTTCAAAATGATATAATAAATGATCTGTGGAGTATTTTGAGCTGAAACTTTACAGACACATTCTGGGAACACCAGAGACTTATATTACATATTGTAAAAAGGGGCATAATATGTCTCCTTTAACTCCTTTAACTCCTTTAATGTAGCTACCTTTAAAAAATGTTCTTCCGACTTGAATGCAAGTCCACTTTAGTCCACTAAATGCCACGATTGACCAGTCAGAATCGAGTATTCCTGCCACATAATTAGATAAAATAAATGCTCTGTGGAGAATATCAGAACAAAAACTGACAAAAACATGTTCTTCATCCCCAAAATATTTGATTTATAAAGAATGTGATTTTTTCATCATAAGACTTCATAACTAAATAATATCATCATAAAAGAATGTTCCTCTGTACAGAATATCATGTTCACTGACATTGTGCACATTTTCAGCTTTTTCATTTTTAATTGGTTCCATGCGGTTTATTCTACATTCTTACATAAATTTATCATTTAATGATGTTCAAAGTGTTCTGAAGAATTTGAGGAGAAGCAGAGCAGCAATATTGGCCAGTTGCTATGGGTCACAGGGGTGACATAGCATTTGTATTAACTCCAGCTGCAGAATCCAAACAAACATTTCAAATATAATCCATTGGCTTTCACCATACTCATAGAAGCTTTCTCAAAAGATGCTTCAGCAAGGAATGTAAATAGAATATGCATTTAAAAGCAAGTATGTTGCATATAGTACATTGATGCATTTATACTGCATTTTAATGGAATTTATACTTTTACCTTGTTTTTATTTTGCTTAACTTTATTCTTTGTGAATTATTTGTTTCTGGGATAATTAAAAAATTCTAAATTGTGTAGATAAATAATTCTAAAAAAAAAAGAAAATAATTCTAAAATGTGTAAAATAGTGGGCCTAGTTGTGACCAAACCTTTGACTGTACATGTTGATATAGAGGTAATAAATACTTTTAAAGTACAATGGCCTTTAGAGAGACAAGATGACTATTTCTAAATCTAACCTATTTCGAAATCTAATCTATTTTTTAACCCTGTGCTAACATGTATGAACAATCCATAAGAGGGGAGCATGTAGAAGATTGTGCACAAAACACTTTGATCACATTGGTAATTTAGAGGCCTTAGAAATTCATGTATAAAATATGATATGGTAGGATTTCTAGGGTTAAACAATTAGTAAAACAGTCCTTTGCTCAGCCAATTCCTAAAAAAAGGATGTTTTTGCTACCCCCTTCTGGTTTGTTAAGGTCACAAATAGCATTTAATAAAACATAAAAGCATTTAAAAAATTGTTCCTTAAAATACTAATGCTGTATGTGAAATGATCAGTAAAAGAAAGATGCAGAGCTGCTGAGGCCTTGAGGCATTTAAATATTGTAGAAACTTAATTTGCTGTAAAGTTGCTTTGCAACGATTTGTATCGTGAAAAGCGCTATACAAATAAACTTGAATTGAATTGAATTTAAAGAAATTGAGACACAACCCAAAAGAATGCTTTATGTGTGTTATATTGCAGTGTTACAAACAAATAGGTTTCTTCAAAACATAAATAATCACAATACTTGAGCAATAGCAAGTGTTTTTATATAAAACTTTGGTTAAAAAAAAAGTAAAAGTGCAACAGAACAAAAACATTGCTCTTTTGATTAGAAAACCTATACAGAGAAAATAAAGTTAGTTACAGTAATACAGTAAAAACCTGCATAAGGCACAATCTTATGGAATGTATAAACAAAGATTATCCAAGGCAGTTTAACATCTTTTTGTCCTCTAATTCAAAAACACTACAGTTCAAATTATATCTGTCCACTTTTTAAATTAGTAGGATTTAAATTGGTAGGATAGCCTCTACACAAACAATAAAAAACAAAGTAGCTTTTCACAACAAGGTGAACAGCAGTGATATTCCAACATGGCAGTCAGTAACAAAGACAAACAATAACTCAATATAAATACACACAGATGAGCGTCACAGTGTTTCTATCAATGGACTACAAAACAGCCAACATACAAATAATTTGTGTTGTGATTAAATGCTTAGACACACAATAAAGCCATTCAAATGAATGTCTGTGTGTGTGTGTGCACTGTTAAATTATATTATACATTTTCATGTCTAATTGTAGAGCTCCTGCTTTCAATATGTGATAAGAAGATAAAGTAAGAACTGTTTATAATGTATCAGGAAGAATAAGACGGTGGCACGGAAAGGACAAAAATAATGAACAAAGAGATGATCGTAAGGCACATGTTCCAACAAGTGTACAACCAAAATTTAGTGTGTCATGTTTGGGTGGTTTTAATTCCTCAGATTACATTCAAACTGCCCTCCATTCACGCCTATGAATTACACCATCACTCATTAGGAACAATGAGTGAAGCCACAAAACTGAAAGCAAACTAATAACTGTATCAAACAAAATGACAATAGACACAAGTGTCTAAAGTGCAGGTGGGAGGGGTTTATCTTTCCTGTCTTTTCCTTTGAAACATTAGTCACAGTTGAAGGCAGACAGGACAACACTGTTAAGGACTTACAAACCCAAGCGAAGGATGAAATGTAAATGAATGTGAAACTGAGTGCAAGCCAAGGTTCAAGGAGCGGACGCTGAGGCAGGAATGCAGCCGTTGGCAGTGGTGGTGGTGGGGGCTCATTACCTCCGCTTTTGTCCTATGAAAGCAAGTGTGGACCGGTGTGGCATGAATCATGCTTTAATAATTAAGAATCTGCACATCAAAAAGGTCACAGACTCCCTCGTTGTCATCAAGGTTGAAATTGTAATCCACACCAGGGTTGGGTGAAAGTCTTAACAGGGGGAAAACTACCGGGGTTAAACACACACAAAAAGGTTATCACAAACAGAGCACAGATTGGATTTATCTAATACACATTTACCAAATGAATAAATAAATAAAATTCAATAAAAAAACGAGAGATTTTTACTGTATTGTTTTAAAAAATTGGGGGTCAATAAGATTTTTTAATGCTTTTGAAGCTCTTATGCTCACCAAGGCTGCATTTATGTGACCAAAAATACAGTAAAAACAGTAATATTGTGAAATATTACAATATTACAGTAATATTGTGAAATATTACCATTTAAAATAATCTTCATATGATGGCAAAGAGCAATAAAGTGCAAATTTGGTGCAGATGCCATTTTTATAGCCAAAAAGTAAGATGAAATTCTCATAGCTTGTAAATCAGTGGTTCTCAACCTTTTTTTACTCCAAGGCCCCCCTCCTCTCCAAATCAACACTGAAATTCTACTTCTTTTTTTGTTGTTGTTTTTTTTAGGATTATTTGATGAATAGATTGTTTTATTTTTTAAAAATGCTATTCTTTTGAACTCTTTTGTAACATTATAAAATGTCTTCACAATCACTTTATTTAATGCATCTTTGCTAAACAAAATGATTTATTTTGGTATTTTGAAGAAAATTTCATACACACTACAGTTGAAAAGTTTGGGATCAGTAAGAAAATTGCATTACAGCAATCAATTACATTTTAAAATATATTAAAATAGGTAATAGCTATTTTAAATTGTAATAACATTTCACAATATTACTGTTTTTACTGTGTTTGTGACGGTGAGAATAACTAAAGTGACTATCAAAAACATGAAAATTATTTTACTTACCCCAAACATCTGAACGGTAGTGTATATTCATGTATAATCATAGATCGAGTGGTTGGACAAAATAATGTGAACACCCATAATTATAGGGGTTAATATAAACACAATGTTTGTTTTTCACTGCAGCCTGCACAAATTATGTGTTTTGGGTGAAATGGGTGATTTGTCAGACTTCCAAAAACAACAAATCATGGAAGCCTGTGTACCAGGAGCGTCTGTAAATTTAACGGCCCAATTATTTTTGTATTTCAAGAACATCAGTCTTTATGACTGCATACACAAAACATGGCAAGACTTCATCAGTGAAGAAGAATAGCGGTCAAAACCTGAAAGTGAATTATAGGGAGCATCAAACGCCAAGAAGTACTGTGTCCAAAACACAGAACTACTGCTACAAAGTGACAGCAAACCACAATATTCACCATATTTTTTTCGCATTTTAGCATGATCATAAAACCTGGAGAATTGGTGCACCAAGATGCACTTTAACATCTGCACTGGCAGACAAAACACCTGAAATGAATATCAAACCACTATGGATAATTTTGGAGAGAACAGTAAAAAGAATATTCCCTCTTTCAACATCTCTCAAACAACTTCTGTTCTGATAGATGACATTCAACTGGAGACTATTAAAGCATTGTATGAATCAATTATAAGAAGATTGGAAGCTGAATTAAAGACAAATGGTGGTAAACACCTTAATAAAGAAGTATTGCCCATTTCCTAGGTGTTCACATTATTTTGTTTAACTCCTGTATATAAATATGTCCTATATATATATAGTAAGGAACGAGGCCAGTATGAATGAAAGCAGTACCCATGTGCATATCGGGGGACGTGGAGGACGGTGTGAGTTGGTGCTCTGCAGTGGGGCTTTTCAGCGGCCCTCGCTTTAGATCACAGAGCTCAGCTGAGGAGATGGGGAACCTCTGCAGCCCTGCTGGAGTACTAGGAGGAGTTGGCATGGCAGAAATGTCATCTACAGGTGGGACGGGGACAACAACAGGCTTGGAGCAGCTTGTCTCTCTGTTTATCAGCATCACCTGAATGGGAGCTGAGTGACTTCGCAAGTTCACCTGGTACTTTTTCTGACCATTGTGGCCCTGAATCAACCAAAAAACACAACAAAAAAAAAAGAAAGAAAAGAAAATGCAAATAAACACATAAATATACATATATATATATATATATATATATAAACATACCATCTCAGGCACTGGGACCTCCAGTTGTGTTCCTGATGGTGCCATGACAGCTAAAAGAGTATCCCCACTGAAAGCATCACATATGTCCTCATGTGTCACGTAGCTGAATGTATACAATGCTAAGGAACGTGTACCGAGTGATAATGCAATGTCTCCTCAACCTTTTGTATATTTTTCACATTGAAATGACCCCATGATACAGAGTCATTATATGAGGTGGGAGGAAAAACTATATTTCAGTGCTTTTGCAAGCAAACCCAAAGTTTTTCAGGGAAATGCGATATTTTTTCAAGAGCAAGCAAAAGCATTAAAATATGAGATGGAAAAAACTAAAATTCAGTGGTTTTGCATTCTCCTGAGAAACTGCATTCATTTGCAAAAACACAAAACTGAGGATTGACAAAATATGAGGTGAGAGGAAAAACTATATTTCAATGTTTTTGCAATCGCAAGCGAAGTTTGCCGGGTGAAAGCTTTTTTTTTTTGAGTGAGAGAGAGAAAATGCAACAAAAAAAAAAAGCACCTAATTACATGTTGAGATGAAGAAAAATGTAATTCATTGCTTTTGTGTTCTCCCAAAAAAATTTTGCAACTGAAAGCAAAGTTTGAGGAAACGTATTTATTTAATTTTTTTTTTTGCTAGAACACAAAAGTATTTCAATGTTGTTGCATTCTATCAAACAGACGTATATTTTCTCGGGAGAAGGCAATATTTTTTCCAGAGAACGCAAAAGCATTGATATATAATTTTCCCTCAAATCTCATATTTTTTCCATCACCATATCCCCTTAAGAGGCTCTGTTCCATGACATTATAAGTTTGGAGATAAAAAGGCTGAACTTTGCATAAACCACTTTAATCCAAAGAGGAATAACTGGTGGGGTAAGGCTTTGGAAACTCTAGCATGAACCGTAATAGACTGGAGACTGGAAAAACTGGACTGGGGCCACTCAAATACCCAACAATAACACCACATAGTCAAAGGAGGACAGGTTATAGCACTCAACATGTAATTAGGTGCACTCTTTTGACAATGGCATTTTTCTGGAACTGTTAATTACCAGGGGAACCAACCAAAAATGGAAAAATATCAGACTAGAATAAGGAAAAAGAAAAATGGACAACGTTTCCTGGCTCTTACGATGACCGTAAGGATATCTGCAGCTGGAGGGGTCTTCATTCAGGTGTTTGATGCTTTGTTGCAGACATGATTTCTGCATGTCCAGCTCTCTCTCTTGAATATCCAGATCAGCAATATTTGCCTTGAGAAGTTCAACCTGCTCAAGAACTTCCTGAGGCTGGCAGCCTGAACTCTCCCCTCTAATTAAGAATAAGAATTAGAGAATGACGCAACTGAAGTATATCACACTAAGCATGCAAAGAATGCAATACAACATTACAATATGCATATACAATTTTAAGGAAACGTTTGATAGCACACTGATAACTTCCCTAATCTCTGTACTCACTTCCACTGAATGGTGTTTTTGGTCTTTTTTTCAATGAGCCCAATGCCTTCCAGAACATTGGTGATGTCGTAGATTCTCCTCTTCTGTTTGACGGCCAAACTGTCTGCAGCCTATGAAAATAATCACAATGTTATTTTTTAGAGACCATCCAATCAGAAGAGAGGAATTGGCTATTTACCGGACCAAACAATAGCTTGGGTTGATATATACTTGGAAACTGGGTTTAGATAACTCAGTAGGTCTCGACTGTTATCAGAAGAGTTTCCCATGAGTAAGTGTGCCATCATGATAAGCATGGGCAGGTGTGCTAGCACCGGTCACACTGACCCCATATACAGAAATTCACATAATATCTCCACTATCTATCCTTGTATGACAGCTGATGGGAATATAATGGAATGTAACAAAAACAATTTGGTGTCCCATGATATTTTTAAAGCAGAGGCACATATCCTCAAATATTTTTAAAATAACCGAATAAATAAAAAATGAATAGTAATAAAAACGAAAACTTTTCATTATTAACTCATTTAATTTAATTACTAAATAATAATAACAATAATAACAATAATGCAACACTGTGTTAACACAAATGTACAGGATTAAAAAAAATGGAAAATTGAAAAAAAGAAAAGAAAAATGTATTATCTACTTTTCTCAGTTTTCATATAAAATTTATTTTGCATTCAGTGGTAATAACGGTTGGTTATGTTACAGTATGAAAAAAATCTAATTTTATTTAATGTGTGGAAAATATATCTATGTCTATCAATAACTACACACTAACAATAATTAGACAGGGTTGCAAAAATAAATTACTAATTTAATTACTAAATAATAATACTAATTCTACTGCTACTACTACTAATAATAATAAAGAATGCAGCACTGGTAGTAGGTAGTGGCAGTAGTAGTTGGTTATGTTACTGCATTGAAAAAAATTCAAATATTTTATTTAATTTGTGGAAAATATAAGTCTATCAATAACTCCACATTAACAATCAATCAATCAATCAACAAATAAATACCAAATATCTCATTTAAATAATATACTTTTCTGGATGTTAAGCCCCGCCCATTTGCTGAAGGAAAAAAATACTTTTAATTTTTTAAGAGTTTAGGACCCTATTTTATTCCATTTTAGAGGTAAATAGCAGGTGATTAGACTGAATAATGTCACCAATGAATTCACACAGAGCGTAAAAAAAAAAATTTTTTTTAAATTCACACAGAGCGTCTCTGCTGCCTCAAGCGTCAGGTAACAAACACCTGCCGTGAGATCCCACGGGTTTCTGTTCAAAATCCCCTCTGTCACAATAACACGCCATTTCTATTCGCTCTTTAACACTTTTAATTAACTACGAGCCAGGCACGTATTTCTGTATATCTCTTACAGTAAGAGCCTCACAGGACAGCGAAAGTCCACTCAGGTAAAAACTGTTTCTTTGTGTAACTCTTGACAGACGTCCTCACTGAACAGCCTGCCGAGTTTCATTCATTCCCTTCGTTCATTCATTCCGCCACTTGTAAATGTATTTTAACCCACCACTTTGAGATCGAGCACTCCGTCTTTGGCCTCTTGAAGCAAAGTAACGAACTTGACTGTGAGGAGACCCAAACTCTTCTCATGGCGACTGGACCCGTTCGGTGTCGTGTGAGGAAAACTCGCGCTGTTCGACTCAGCCATACCATCCAAACGCCCGGCGTTAGGGACGAAATTCAAAAACTCCCTTTGTCTCGTTCAGAGGTATGGAGGTCGACCTCAGTTTATTTTAGTTGGTGAGGGGGAGCAACAATCATCTCTTGCACTTATTTACCTCAGGCTACACGTCTACTGATGGCTCGAGGGTTTTTAAATGAGAGGAAATGACGTTGGATTACCGTTACTATGACAGCGTCTCTGCTTGAGCGTTCGAACAGAGGGACACGCAACTGAAATGCTTTGAGAATTCAACACACTTTTAAAATTTAATTCTCCAAAATTACACAACAAACACAGCGTAACAAGTTTATAATTTAATTATATAATTTAAAAAAGCCCATGGTATATAAAAAGTGCAGTATATAATAATTTAAAAAAACAACAACAGAAGTTTCACATTTTCAACAATTTTCTATTTATATATTTTCAAGCATAAAGCCAAAAAAACTGTTAAATACAGTAGACTAGGCTACATAGAGACATAAGTGACATAAGTCTGGAAAAAGGCATCTTCCAAGTTTTTGTCTTGGGTTTGTAATGGACAGGAGGTTAGAAGTCTTTCAGCACTTGTGTGAGGCGTCTCATTTTCTCATCCATTACCCTTTTATTACTCTCAGTTTCCTCAAGCAGCTGGCGCATTTCCTCCTCCACCTGGAGCACCTGTGGTTAAAAATAAATAAACAAATAAATATGTTCTTGAGAAGGCATTCTCCCAGTCAATCATCTAATTCATCAAGACATTAAATTAAAAACAACTCATTCTAGTCTGCTCACTTTAATCTAGCAGTTTGTCTGCATGTGCCAACACTAGCAATATGAATGAAAATACAGTAAATTGATATATATATATTCCAAAATTACACAACAAACACAGCGTAACAAGTTTATAATTTAATTATATAATTTAAAAAAGCCCATGGTATATAAAAAGTGCAGTATATAATGCTGTACGCTGAGTTTGTAATGGACAGGAGGTTAGAAGTCTTTCAGCACTTGTGTGAGGCGTCTCATTTTCTCCTCCATTACCCTTTTATTACTCTCAGTTTCCTCAAGCAGCTGGCGCATTTCCTCCTCCACCTGGAGCACCTGTGGTTAAAAATAAATAAACAAATTAATATGTTCTTGAGAAGGCATTCTCCCAGTCAATCATCTAATTCATCAAGACATTAAATTAAAAACAACTCATTCTAGTCTGCTCACTTTAATCTAGCAGTTTGTCTGCATGTGCCAACACTAGCAATATGAATGAAAATACAGTAAATTGATATATATATATAAATCAATACTGTAGTGCCAGTAATACCTTCTGATTGGCTTTTTCGATTTGTTTCTGTTTGTCATTCGCAAGACTAAGTATTTCAGCCTGATGGGAAGCTTGCAGAGATTCGAGTTGTCTACGGAAGGCATCGTCCACACTGTGAAGCTTCTCCACTGCTGCTCTAATAAAAAAAATAAAAAAAATTGTTTTAAATGTATACTACTGTATACTACTAATAGCTCAAATTAGGGCCTGCTGCCCATCTCATACCGGTGTGCTTGTGAAGCCTTGTCTCTTTCCTCTATCAGCGTTCTCTCTTTGGAATCAAAACCCTCTTTCATTCGGTTCACCTGGCTCTCAAGCCTGTTCAACAGTTCTGTCTTTTCCTGCCATTTTTTACTTGAGGCCCTGCAAAAGTAATTTGATTAAAAGATATTTGAATTCAACATATTACTTCGCAGCTGTGTGATGGTGAGAGACATCAGAATACACCCTTTCAAACAATGGCATATTGTTCCATAATTAATAAGCTAGGGTTAAAGCTTGGAATCATGACATGATTGCAGATTAACCAGTGTTATTCCATACCTGTATGTCTGTTTAACCTCATCAAGCTCCGCCTCCTTATCAAGGAGCTGTTGTTTCAGCTCCTCTTTCCTGAGACTGAGCTGCTCCACTGTTTCTCTAAGCTCCACTGCAGAGGCCATTTCCTCCTCCAGCTGCTGCTTCAGCATTCGCTGGTCCTGCACATTCTCATCACGATGTTTACGGATCTGCTCATCTCGCTCCAGCAATGCCTAGAAGCAGTATGTTAGAGAAAAGTGAGCCAGGTAATGAAAACTGACACTATCACACATAAGATTTTTCTCTTAGATTATTTTATTTTGTACTTAGTGCATTAAATTAGCACACATATTATTACATATACTTACATATACCGGTAGTTCAAAAGCTCAGGGTGAGTAAGATTTTGTGTGTGTGTGTATTCAGCAAGGACACATTAAATATATATATATATATATATA